GTGCGCACTGATTTATTAAAATAAAATAATACGTTGAGCGACAACAGCGGCCATTTAGATGGCAATGCATTGGACTCTGCACTTCTCCGACATAATTATGTAGAATATATATATATTTTTTCTTTTTATTGCTTAGATTGATGGACGAGCTCACAGCCCACCTGGTGTTAAGTGGTTACTGGAGCCCATAGACATCTACAACGTAAATGCGCCACCCACCTCGAGATATAAGTTCTAAGATCTCAGTATAGTTACAACGGTTACCCCACCCTTCGAACCGAAACGCATTACTGCTTCACGGCGGAAATAGGCGGGGTGGTGGTACCTACTAATTGCGACCGTGGTACATAAAATAAGACTGTTCCTTTTTGTTTTCACTTTTATTGTTCTGTTCAAACCAGAAATGCATATCGGTTCTGGGGACAGGCATTGGTAGCTAGCTATCCGCGCGGGGCGAAATACACCCTACTGCCAGTTATTTTGCAAGTTAAGAGATTTTGCGAGTTTAATTACATAATGTCATTCCGAAGTCATCGTCGAAGTCAGTCAGGCACACGCGGCAAGTACAAATTAAAGCTCCTTATTCGCCCTTCCTATTCGCGGATTAAAACAATGCGACCCAATTCCTATGTTCGCGGCTCCTCCTCCTTGCGTCGGTTTCCTCATTGAGGGTCGTGGTCATGGCCTTGAAACAGTTTGTTTTTTATAATGCACCGCCATCTGTTCCTATCTGCAGCTGCGTGCAGAGCATCGTGCACTGTGGTATCAAGGGCTGCACGAATCTGGTTCGTCCAACGGGTCGAGCTCCTGCCTCTTGGTCGCTTGCCCTCGACCTTTCTAGTGACCACCAATTTCTCCAAGTTCGCGTTCGCGGCTAAAGATTTCTTTACTCGCAGATCTACTCGGTACATTGTTACATACACATTGATAAAAATTATTCTAATATGTAGGTATCTAACTGAATATCGTTTGTAAACCCGCTTTTCCAAATTCACGGTTTCTGTATTCGCTACATATCCACAGAATGTATACCCCGAGAATAAAGAGCTTACAAATAAATTGTACTCGCCTGAGGAATTTGAGTACCAGTGTAGTCACATCACTCGATACTAGTACACGGGGCATTTTATTTGGTTTATAGCACTACTAAGATATCCGTCTAATTTTTGATACACTAATTCACTGTCAAATACAAATCGTTTAGAACTTTTGTAGCTTTCAACATTTTACTTTTTATAATGAAACGGCTACTTACCAATGTGTTTGGACTTTGAATAAACCAAAATAAAAATAAAAAACATGAAATTTTGATTATGTAATGCGCATAAAGTACTATAATAATAATTCATTTCACAGTATTCTCTATTGAACGATTTTGCTCGTAGCAAATCACAAGCAGGAAGTTTAATTACGAATTCTCAGTATCGGGAAACAATGAATTATTCAGAGCCGCTGTGATAATAAGAAACATCATTAAAACACAAAAACAATAACAACAATAAATCGCGATCCAATCACTCAATTATTTTCAATATCCAACTCCGAATATTATGCATTGTGTACTTTAGTAAATTTAGGCGCAGGAAATTATCAGGAATTATCAACGACATAATAACATTCTCTCCTCCTCGCTTCGTTTCCTCACTGCTGAGGGTCGTGACCATTATAATTCGACATGATTTTACTCCTTGTGATATCCCGCCAGCGCCTCCGATCATTGGCAATAACATTCTAGAATGTACGAAAACACAAAATACGGCACTGAGTTGAATGAGGGATTGGTCTTTTCAATGTTTGAATTAGTATTTGAGATGATCGAATATTGAACTAACTACTTTTTTTTGTCGTAAAACTACAGACGACAAATATTGATGGAGACAAAAGTCTTAAAGGTCAACGGAAACCTATATTTACCTGTTTGTAGTTCTCTGTATACGCGTCGACTATAGGGTATTTAGTTGCAAAATTAATTCTTATTTCTTTATTAATTGATTATTTTAGTCTTACTATAAAGCAGAGTTCCCCAAACTTTTTTGTGTCGTAGACCCCTTGCCATGTTTTTCCATGTTGGGTAGACCACGGAATAGATAAATAAAACCTTATTTATCTATTCCGTGGGGTAGACCCCCTACTTATCTGATATTGATTTCTAACTGTAGTAAAGTTTAGTGTTAAAAACTTAAAGTTACACACACACACACATGTTAATTTATACATTTATTAATTGAATTTAAATTAAAACTACTCAAAATAAAATTTTGTATCTGTTATGTAAAATATACGTAACATAAAATAAATATAAAATAAACTATAAATAAAATAACATAAGCAATAAGTCAATATTTTTGGTGAGAAGGATGAACCTAATGCTTTAATAATAAATTATCAACATTTGGCGTCAACTTTGTAAGGGTTAATCTTAAATCTCCTCGGCTAATGCTGTCTTGATATTATAAGATAGTATGATGTAAGTAAATAGGTACTATCAGTGTATGTGTTGAGATCCACTATCGTGGACCCCCAAATTTTTTTTCGCTGACGTAGGCCCCTTGCAGGTTGTTATAGACCCCTAGGGATCGATATAGACCACCCTGGGAATCACTGCTTCAAAGTAAGATTAACTAAATAATAAAACTTAAACTTTTAAGTATTGTTATAGGAAGTCTGAAAGAAGTTGGGAGGCGCGGGTTTGGGCTGATACGGACATGTGATGAGACGGAATGACAATGAGGTTGTTAAGAGAGTTTTAACTATGAATGTGGAAGGCTTTAGAGGAAGAGGTAGACCTAAGAAAAAATAGATAGATTGCGTGAAAGACGACATTTGTAAGAGGAGTGAGCGAAGAAATACCATTTATTAGAAGAGTATGGAAGGACAAAACATGTTGCGCTGACCTCAGGTGACTTGGAGAAGGGCAGGAGAATGATAATGATGATGATGATGATGATTTAAAATAAGATTCCATCAGCAAATTCTTCTTTGTTCCATTCTCTCAGAACAAATGTACACAACTTATTTTTCTGTGATTTTTTTTGCGAATTAGGGGTGGAAATAAACTCATGTTTAATTTTACATTTATAGTAAGACCGTATAGTACATAGATCTGGTCTAGGCAAAATTTAAGTACAAGTTACAAATTACTGTCAAGGAGTTGCATCTTTGTATGTTCCATGGGGAGTGCTCTGACGAATTGTTCGAGATGATACCGGCATCTCGTTTTTACCATCGCACCGCCCGCCACCGGAGTAAGTTCATCCATACTACCTGGAGCCACTGCGGTCATCCTCAATCCGCGTTTCCAGAGGTCTTTTTTGCCACGTACCATCCGGCTATGGAATGAGCTCCCCATCACGGTGTTTCCCGAGCGCTATGACATGTCCTTCTTCAAACGAGGCTTGTGGAGAGTATTAAGCGGTAGGCAGCGGCTTGGCTCTGCACCTGGCATTGCTGAAGTCCATGGGCGACGGTAACCACTCACCATCAGGTGGGCCGTATGCTTATCTGCTTACACGGGCAATAAAAAAAAAAGTGAAGTTTCAATTTTATTGTGAATTGCCTACGCCCCAGTCTTGCAGTACCACTAAAGCAAAGCTGAATAGAAAGTAATTTGATGACAAAAGAAGATTAAAATATGGTCGTCTAGTAATTAATAAGCGACAATGTTTTAAAAGAAGATTAACAAATCAAATTCTTAGCATGTAAACTTGAATTACGCCAACATATAAATAGAAGCTTAGGATCTATTTTAATAAGAATACATGTTTTTATTATGGTCGCTCGAGCCTAGAGGATATTAAATTTATAAAGAGAAACAGTATTTTATTTTCCAGAGATTTTATTTTCAAGAGAAACTGTATTATATTTTTATTATCCTCTTACTTTGGTATAAATAGTACACAATAGTCCAGATACTATTATATATAAACATAATTTCATAGCTACAAAGAAAGGATATATAAGATAAATAGCTAGATAATGTAGACGCAGGAAAAAGTATTTATAATATTAGTATAGTCTCCTGTTTGATTTCAACAACTAATAACCCAAAAAAAATAAAAACTGACATTTATAGACATTAATAAAACTAGTCCTGAACGAAATGGCCAAAGTCAATAGACGCCAGTATCTTGAGACCTGAGATCCAGTTTTCAATTTAAAGAAAAGAAGCTGGAACGCATGAAAAATCTTTAAGGACAAATCATTTTTTTGTTTTTTTTTGTTTTTTTCATTTTTTTTGTTTGTTTGTATGGGTGGACGAGTTCACGGCCCACCAGGTGTTAAATGATTACTGGAGCCCATAGATATATACAACGTAAATGCCACCACCTACCTTGAGATATAAGTTCTAAGGTACCTATTAGTATAGTTTACAACGGCTGCCCCACCCTTCGAACCGAAACGCATTACTGCTTCACGGCAGATATAGGCATAAAGCGTTAAAAGTACTTAAGTGCACAACCCACTTAAGGTTATGCGGTCAATGGGTCTTATTTATTATTCTATTGTAGTCTGCTTATTCATTCGGACATAAGGGCAGGAGATGGTACCATGACAAAATAAGGTAGAATAAGTTGTTCTCTCAGATCAATGTCCTTTTTTTTTTATCCTACCTAAGCTGGTAGCCTTGAGAGGCTATTCCAGCGTAACCTTAACTAGTAGGTGAGCTCACGGGGGTCGAACCTGACGACGTTGCTAACACGAACCCTAGCAAGAGCCGTGCTTCGCAGAATCTACCACCGGATCGGAAACGCGACCCACTGAGAAGATCCGGCGAGAAACTCAGTGGGCTGTGTCTGAGGGTTAATTTACTCGTCGAGCCCTTCGTCGCAAGCGACGGGTTCGACGAGAACGGTGACCGGGGAATGTGCGAAGATCTCAAGTGTAAACTACAAATATGACCGTTTATTGAGTACACAGTGTAACGATTCTTACGTAAGTGCATTTCGCTCGACGGTGGAGGCGATTTGCGAGGTTCCGCGCTTGGAGAAGGCAGTCGGTAGTCGGAAGCCTGGCGCCTAACTTGCGCCATCAATAAAGTGAGTGTTATAGTGTATTTAAAAAAAAACAGAATTGGTACGTATTTAAACTGTTACGTCTTTAAGTTATTTGTCATCGATTATAAAGTTTCGAAGTTGTGGGTGATGCCGTATTGAGGAATTTGATAAGAATTCAAATAAAAAAAGATCTCTATATATAAAAATGAATTGCTGTTCGTTAGTCTCGCTAAAACTCAAGAACGGCTGGACCGATTTGGCTAATTTTGGTCTTGAATTTTTTGTGGAAGTCCAGAGAAGGTTTAAAAGGTAGATAAATATGAAAATGCTCGGAATTAAGTAAAAATAACAATTTTGTTTTTCCTTTGATGTGTCCCCTTGATGTGTCTTTTATTTATCGATTGAGGCACTACGAAGTCTGCCGGGTCAGCTAGTTATTTATAAATATGAGAGCATGATTTATTTGCGCTTGTAGTACAGTGGTATTACACGCACCTCACATTCAAGAGGTCGTTTCTCGAAGCTGGTCACACATACCAAATACTTTTTGAATATTTTTTTTATCGCTTAGTTAGGTAGACGAGCTGAAAGCCCACCTGGTGTTAAGTGGTTACCGAAGCCCATAGACATCTACAACGTAAATGCCGCCACCCACCTTGAAATATCAGTTCTAAGATCTCAGTTTATTTACAACGGCTGCCCAACCCTTTTAACCGAAACGCATTACTGCTTCACGGTAGAAATAGGCAGGGTGACCACCACCCTACTTGTGCGGACTCACAAGAGGACCCACCACTAGTAATTACGCAAAATATACTTTTTGCAGGTTTGATTTTTACTCCACGATTTTATTCCTCCACCCTGGAATTTTAAATTGCGCATGGCGCACTGTACGTAATGTGTGAGTGAAGTATGCTCAATATTTATGATCCATTAGCATTTAGTTTGCATTTACATGACTTGTTCGTTTACAAAAAAAAAAAAAAGTAAAAATATACGATCTGTGGATAGTCTTTGTCAAGACCAATCTAATAAATCAAAGTTTGATGAAATTACAAGTGGGGATTTAAGAATTTCGTTACAAAAGTTTCAAGTTCATTATCAGATCAATATTTTTGTTATTTTTATAATCATTTATTCAAATATAAACAAGGTTGTCAAACTTGATGATTTAACAATTAAAAGTGACAAATACAATAAAAATAGCTCTAACACAAAACCTCATCAAATTACTAATTGATAATATATTTTAATGGAATAACTGATAATTACTTACAATTTCATAATAAGCTGTTGAATTCTTATCTTAAATGCTAAGAGTCGCCTTTGGTGGTAGCAATACGGCTTGTTATGAGATCGCGCACGCGTCATTATCCTATCTATTCCTATCGTAACGGTGATCTAAACTTCCGTTCCCACTGTAAATAATAATATTTAATGAGTTCATTAGAATCGTCGTTAGACGATAATATTTTTTCCGGCTGTGGTAAGTCGTGGACATAATTAAAACAATTTTTACGGCAAAATCTCGCAGTTTTTGTGGCCGTAATGACGATATCTGTAAACTATTTGAAATATCTATAATGAGAATAAAAACTGTAAGATTATTATCGTAACAATAATTTTTATTCTTACATCAATTTACTTTTAATGAGTCCCCGATATTTTGGACCTGTCCCATAAGTCCCTTAAGGAACTTTGTTCCAATAAAGAAACTCCTATATCAACATGAACATGAACTCTAAAAACATTATTCTTATACAATTTTGAACTGACGTGTAACAAGAGTAATTGGCGAAGAAAATGAGAAACGCTAACTTTGTATTCAGAATAACGTGAATTTGATTTAAATAAATTAACATTATATTATCTAATGTTATTAAACTATCAATACGGTCATTATGCTAATCATTTAAATATCGGACGCGACTTTGAACTTGTTTTAGTAGGAAATGTTTCGATTTTTTAATTTTATCAGATGACTCATGTCAATGGCACGTCATTACAATACAATAGATACTTTGACTTACTTTATTTTATTGCTTGACGGGTGCGGCGAGCTCACTGCCTGGCTGGGGTCAAGTGTTTACCGAAGCCCATGGACATCAACAACGTAAATGCGGCCACTCACCTTGAAATATGAGTTCGAAGTATCAGTTCTATAGTGACTATGTGAAGTAGCCTGATAGAGCCATCTATCCATGACCTATCTGACGTTCTGCAGTGGTTCTTACCGGAGTCCATAAGCAGCCCAATTCCACAATGCAAGCGGTCGTCTCAAGGACATGTAACTGTTTCAATTGCATCGTAAAAATTATTATTCTGCAAAATATTCACCATAGCTTAACGACAAACAAATCGTATGACAGCAATACCACCTCAGGTTCACCGTCATAGACATTGTAAAGTTTTATTTGGAATACAGTTTTTTTAACGTAGGAATTAAAAAAAAAAAAATTATTCGCTAAGATAATTGTTAATAATTCTATTTGTTCTTTTGTACATACTTAATATATGTATATAAATCGTTTTAAAGCCTTTGCTGCTTTGAAATGTGTATGTGAATATTTCAATAAATAATAAACTATAATAATCGATTAAAAAAAAGACATTTGGACAAAATTATTATATTATTTTTTTGTTGAAAGTGAAGAAAAAGCTTTCATTTTATGATAAAATTACATTGAAGCTTTTGAACGGTTGTTGTGATCGCTTTTATCGATAAAAGATTGGTTGTCGAGAGTTCATAAAAGTTGGTCTCGTTTTTGAGACGCATACTTTCTTGATTAAAGAATTAATTAAAATTATGAAGTAATATAAGCTAGGTATAAAAGTATATACATTGAGTTACTTAAACATGAAATGAGTAAATATTGAATGGCGCGCGTGGGGTAAGCTTAATAAGAACTTCAAGTCAAACTAATATCGCTAGTTCAAACACAATAAATAGCTACAAAAAAAAAAACGTGTGGCACTCGGGAACTGCCGCGGTAAAGCTATTGCATAGCATTTTTTATCACCTTATGCAATTATAATTAGACAATGATAATTTAATATTAAAACAATAATAAAACAAGACCACGCTATATTCAACATTAATAAAAGCAAAACATTAACTGTCCCCTTCACACTCATAAGCTAGACCGCGCGAGAGAGAGATGGGCAGATTTTTCATGATGCGCATGCAGTGTGACGTCACGCCACGCGCTTATTCACAAACACTACACAAACGCAACGTGTGAATGTGTTGAACGCGAGCTACATAGTAGGCGTAGTGGGGGAGTCAGGTTATTTTCGTTACGGAATTTCTTGATTCAGTCGCCGCGCTAAAAGTCCGCGATAAAAGCTATGCAATAGTTTAAAAGTCAATATAACATGAGAATTGGTAATAAAAAAAACAATACATTATATATCTATTTTGGCTGTCTACAACAAAACCTTTTTTCGCACTTCGCAAATTAGAAACCCAATAGGTGCCTAAATGAGACAGACAACAATGAGTACCTACGCGTTAAGAGTATGTTTTTAACCTTTCAGTCATTAAGAAAGTTCTAGAGTTATGTCTGGACAATAGCTAATAATCAAGACTCTATTATTTTTCGTCTAAGACGTCAAAGTCCTTGGAAAGAAATGCTTAGGCTATTTGACAGTTCTAAAGTGTAATTAAACGCCTTCTCTTAATGTCAATCCCTCACGATAATGTTGTGTTTTAAAGAAAGTCAGAGAAGCATAATTATGTGCGTTGTTTTGTGGTTTAAATTAATTTAAAAATTAATTAGGGTGTGAATTTCACTTTATTAATATTCATTATAATTTAAATGTTTGCTTTCATGTATTGTACATATTATTAATTTCTTTTGAACTTTTTATTGTTTTTAATTGTATTTAAGCCTAATTAATTAGTTTAATTCATTTTTAATTTTAGAATTTCAAATACCATAGATTACAAAATACATAATAATATACAGATCTGAAGACTTTACGTTGAAAGTAATATAATAATTTAGACAGTACGCAATAGAAAAAATTCAAATTTCAACTTCATGTCCTGAAGTGAATTCCAAGTTCACATTACTATGTCTATGCCATTTAATGCTAGGTGAGGCGTGAAGTCATTCTGCACTCTTAACGCAAAAAACAAATCAACAAACTAAGAATGCATTTACTAATGGAATAAGAACAAATCAGGTACGGTCATCCGGCCCCAATTTTAAGATTCCTGTGTTATGAGTAACAGTGACTGAGGAACATAAATTGATTTTAGAAACTAGGTGCCCACATTAAAAAAAAATGTCGATGTCAATTTATGTCAATGTCAAAAGATGACACTTTACTTTGTTTAAATCGGAACAACGTGATTTTTAGCGGTAATATATTTTGGAGAAACTAATGAGAGCATATTATTGCGAGAGACGAATTCAATACACCTAGACTATATCCAGAAGTGTACACTTATATATCTATCAATATATAGATAACTAGCTGTACCCGTCCGCTTCTCTGGGCATTTAAAATTAACATTATTATTTCTCACCCCCACAAACATTCTGATCATTAACGCCCCCACAACTGGTGTAGGGAGTCCAAGATTCATATAAATATTAGCCTATCCATTAAGTACATGCATTTTCTACATGAATACCAAGCTTCAAGTCAATCGGATGCATGTTTCAGTAGTTATAACGGAACATCCGTAAAAACCATTGTAGATTTATATATTAGTATAGATAAACAGCCAAATAAAGAGCAAACAAACTTGTTCATCACACATTCTGTTTAATCGACGTGGGAATCGAACCAGCGACCCTCGGCACAACAGTCAGTCACGCTAATTACTATACCACCGAGTCAGTGGATTATATATATCTAATCGAAGCCACCTGCATGTGTATCGCGTATGAGAACTACACGAAGTGATATCGCTGGGAACGGCTGTCAAATGTTTTCGAATAAAAGGAGAAAGCATTCAATTGTTAAACCAAACGAGAACTCTTCGAAAAGGATTTATCAGCTGTCCATAGCTGTCGCAAATAGTTAAGATCTTTTTAAAAATGTTTTATTCACAATGAATGAAAGTAA